TTATAGCAATAATACTGTCCCACGTCTCTATATTATCGAAGAATTAGGCAGATTCCCATATAATTCGCCCCACAGAGTTTTATAATAACAGAACAGAAAATGGATATTCGATATAGCAGCTGGCTAGATCAATAAAGGAGTGTCTCATCCAGAATCTCAGGCGACATTTATGGAAAAATTAATAATTTCGTCCAAAGCCTGTGAAATAGTTCATTGTAATTAATCTTCGCAAAGTATTCATTTGTAGATTTATATTGTCGCGGTTGTTTTCATTGCAAAATGTGTGCTTACATATTCTTTCGATATCTCCGTGTATATTAGACCTTAATGCATACGATGCACACCTAATGAGCCGTGCTTAGCGCGCTTCAGCGAAAAGTAAAGGCGGATAAGCTGGCACTGTAGTCCTGTTCCCAAGCAGGGTTTCAGTGATGGTCTGTTTTATACCAGTTAAGTGACTCACGCTGTCTACCCCGACTTTAGGACCAATTCTATACACGCCCCACTCATTGTGTGACCTATAATAAGTTCCATTTGATTAGAAAATGCTCCCATCGTTTCCACTGAAATGGGTACTTGATTGTAAAAGTGCAATTTTGATTACTTGTATAAAATACATTGATAATCTGTCGTTATTGATAATCAGCACGTGCCATTTTTCATTAAACCTAATAACTAGCGTAACCTAATCCAAAGGTTTTTAAGGATTTGATACAACATCTATGAATAAGTATGTAAAAAAACAAGTATATATACATATATATATATATATACTGTGTTTTCCCCACGCTTATAAACGTCATTCCATCAACAATGGCAAAACATTTTGAAATAGCTGACTATTGTCATGTTGGCACTTACATTCTATTCTAGATTATTTGTATATGTATGTGTGTGTGTGTGTCCCGCATTCGCAGAGACTTAGATTAAGAGAATAAGCCAGCTGAAGCCAACGTTCCTTACTCAATACAGGGAGAAACTGAGGCATGACAATGAGTTCTGTCTTTTGAGAGTGTTTTTGACTGCCATGCCGACGGTTTATAAGCTTCTCAAGGAACTCGAGATATGAACTACATTCATTGTTTGATTTTTGGCAAACACGTTACCCTATTCTTTTGGAGTAAACCCAACAGGTTTTTACCCCAGCTGTCAGAGGACTGGAGTATTTACATCAAAAATTCGTCTGCTAGCGGCGTGTAGTTCAAATGTTATATATATATAGTCCAAAGAAATAAGTATATAGCTGCCTAGTAGAGCATAAAAGTTGTGGCCATTGGCCAATGCGTTCTCAGTTTCCGACCAACCACTTATACCCTTCACTTTTCAATATGGCAAAAATTATTGTATTTCACTATAGATATTGTGGGTTCCCTGGAACAAAATATGCATTCGCATTTATTAAGAAGGTTTTGTACAATTTTACAGGTTTAAACTTATGTGTAGCACTAACCCTTTAAGCATACACAGTACACTTCAAGGGAAAAGCCCCCTATAAATTTTAAATGTATATATATATATATATATATATATATATAAAGCTTTCTAGCTCTGATTATAGACTTAGTAGTACTAAACAACTTTTCTGCAACGGTTGCGATTTCTCTGTGCTTATAAACGTCCTTCCATCAACAATGACAAAGCGTTTTGAAATAACTGTAATCCTGACTAAATTACGTTGATATTTACATGCTATTTCAGATTATCTGCAATTGCTTATTATTTAATCTGCAAAGCATGCTACAATTTCGAGCATAAAGAAGTTAGCGAACGCTACTGCCATTAATAAACCAATTTGAACCGACGCCTTTGTGAAACGGTCCCACCCAGTAGCATTATTTTCTAAAATACCGCGTACCGGGCTATAGCCAACTACAATGTACAATATATTCCAAATAACTAGATGGGCAAACAGAACGTCGGGCGTTAGAAAAGTCAATGCAAGGTAGAAAAAACGAGCAAATAAAAACAAACTGGAGAGTACAACAAGTGATAATATCAAAATTGTGTATGAAATACCGAGATACAATTTACATCACTCAGTCACTGTTTCCGAAACACGAATAGCAGCGTAAATAACCACATTAATTAGGAGAAAAGCCAGCAGGCATCAGACTTCGTCTTCAAACGGATCAGTGCTTCGTTTTCACGTCATATTTTATATTAAAGAACGTCCCCACGATTCGTCACTATTCTAACGCTAAAACTTTGTTGAGGGGCATTTATATTCAAATAATCCTAATTTTCGAAAACTACGAAATCAAATGTGTTCACTCAAGTATGATAGTATTCATATATACATATGTTGTTACAAGCGAAGTCGGCGGTCTTCGCGGTTTCGGAGTTTTTTTAAATTACGCGCCGTTAGCAGGAGGGATTTCTAAAAACTTGTAAGTGATAAGCGGAGCGCTGAAGATAAGAAATCAGGACTCAATGGAAAAGAGTGCACTACTGCTATCGAGAAGGCTTTTCATAGACGCAGACCATGGAGTCTAAAGGATCTGTCGGCCAAAACTGGCATTTTACGAGTGACGTGTTAAAGAATTATAATAATCCAAAACGTTAATCTATGAAATAAACCCGTCTGAAAAATGTGGTCCTTATAGGTAAGGCATGGTTCAATCTCTATCGCCGGCCGTAAAGGAACCAGACGAGAGAATGACTTTGAGAGATCGAGGAGAACAAACTCGGGCATATTGTGAACTTACTCCGGACTGCTCGGTGCAGCTCGCTGTTTTTCTGAAGAGGCTCATAGGTCGTTAGTTCGGCAACCACAAAAACTTTCAGTCTGGTTACTTTGAAGTAAAGCTAAGCTTCTTGGTTAGTTCCTATATTAAGCAAACAATTCTTCCGAAACAAAAAGGCTTCGATGTTCTTAATCTCTCGCTCTTACCCCGTCTAACTGCGAGGTTTTCTATGTTCTACAGAGAACAATAGGCAGATAATCATATCCCACTATCAATTTACTTCAAGAAGCCATAGATAAAGAAATAACTTATATGAAACGTAAACAGTAGGTACATCGTTGTGTAAAAGCTGTCAGAACGTTGGGACAGTGCGTAAAGAATAAGGAACAGTTAACTAGACCCAGCCCAATAAGTTCAGAAGTTTAAAATAAAAAAAAACTTGTGTTCCTATATATATATATTGAAGAAAGCTTTTTCATCGCCTTGTTATGATAACGATAGATGCCCTTGTCCTTTAATAATACAGATGGTGGCAGGAGCCTTCCTCCCATAGCCGTACAACAATTGTCATGATCGTAACTAATTCAAACACATAGCTTCGCTCGAGAGTTAGAATATCTGTAACCCTTCTGCGGCAATAAGAGGAGGGCTCCTGCCATCGTCTATAGATAGAATTCAAGGCCAGAAGCATAATAAAAAGGCAGTGAAAAAGCTCTTTCAACTTTTTTTTACTAAATTTTAAGATAATTTTTCTGGCTCGGCTTGGAATTGGCTATCGCACTTAGCTCCTATTTAAAGATATATCATTTTGCCTCCTCACACGCTTTATAATCACGTCACCTTTACTCGATTATATATTACGCTACTTATTCTTGTAGTCTTCCGCTGTCTTACGCTTTTGTCGAGTTGAATGCGGATTTAACAGCGAACTGTCAAAGCTTAGAACCCTGCACTATCCACCTGTGTGGGCCTACATTAACGCTAAAAGCTTTCTATATACACAACAAATATAAAGTATCCTACAAGAATATTTTCTCGCCACTCTACTATGATAATTACGTGCAGCTGGGCTGGTCGTATGTTTTCGCTTCGTCACATCTTCGTTGAACAGTCACCTATTTAACCATCATCCATATTCCGCCAACGAAGACATAAAAGCAACATGAAAATTGGAGGAAAAAACGAGATAATAAGATAAGTAAGTGATCCGGTCCCCCCCAGTAGCTTGGCAAACCCGTAACGTATTTAGCGTGCGCTCAACAATGACCGATAATTTTATGCGCACAAAGACCATGTGCGTTTGTGTATGCGTGCCTTTGTGTACGTGCACATGCTAGCGCCATCATAAATCGCCTCATGTGTTTTTGTGTGTATGTGTATAATTTGTGAGTTGTAACGACATGTAGTAGTTACAGCAGCTGAAGTGTTTTTGAAATGACAGCTACAGTCATTTAATGGCTGTGGAGGCAGCAATAACACAAAGCTAACCGTGTTTAGAGCCAGTAGTAGCCAGTATTCAGAGCTAATACATTATGTGGTAGTTGTTGACGCCGTTCAAAGCCGTCACTGACGTAAAGTGTCGGCGACCTCTAAATTAAAAGGAAGTCAGAGGAGACGGGGTTACAATGCAAGTAGGCAATAGAACATCGCTCCGAGGAGTGATGAACTATACGTAAACTGTCTATGACGAATTGTTTGTTGTCTAGGCCAAAAAACAATATATCATTCGTGCATAGTACTAATGCAAAGTAAGTCTCAGCGCAACAACGAAAATAGACGGACGGTACGTAAATAAACTGCGATGATTCAATTAGGGGGGCGCTATAGGAACTACTATTCATATAGGAAACCCTCGGCCATGATCATACGAAATGCTTCAAGAATTTACACTCGACTAGAGCAGAGCATTCCTAAATGTCACTGCAACCATGGGGGGCTAATTGTGTGAATTATTAGTGTTTACTCTAAAAGTACACACGGATGATTCGTTTAGCAATTCTCGTTTTGTCCTAATAAAAGTCCAGCTCTTATGAAGGACGGGTGTTTGCTGGTAAGTTCGAGCAGACATGTTTGACTAGATTACTAAGCATTAAATCAAAATGGCAGCTAGTACTTGAAGTCGAACATTCTAGATGTAGCAAAAACCTATCCTGGTCCTAGTATTGCCGTGTATCTTCGAAAGATCATTTATCAATCTTCGAGATGGACGCCCCGTAATTTCGAAACAAAGATAACTAACAACGTTGCACCACGGAAGTTTAACTGAAAAGTGAATTGTTTCATATGGACTTATATTCATACAACGGCAAACTCGAGTCTAATTGTACGTATAATTTTCTCGTATTTATTAGTTCGCTGTAAGTTCATTAAGTTGTATACTATGGCTTCCGCGACCATCGGAAAGTGGACAGCCGTCACTGTAAACAATTACAGATCGTAGAAAACGGATATGTTAGTGTATGTATATATATATATATATATATATATATATATATATATATATATATATATATATATAGAATGTTGAGTCGACATTACCGTTAGCAATTGTCTCGAAAGTATAATTACTATACTTGGAACATTAATTATATGTTCAGCTCTTTGCTGAACCATATTTAATATTAATGAACTTCAAATAGGAACGCGTTCCGGACCCGATGACATGAGAGGTGATCGAACGAAGTCCTTTTTTTCTGTTGCAAAAGTTACGTCTAAAAGAAAATTTAAGATCCAATACTTTACCACCATATAGCACCTCGGTGCAAGAGCTTCTGGTGCAACTCGCGTTATGCGCTATCGCTTTTCATTTTACTCGATGTAATCCAGCTTGTCGGGCTACTTCTCAAGTAGTTTTTGATTAGATTACTCTATCTAGGCAAATAGATAGACTTTTATTTGGACTTCAGTCGGAAACTTACCATACGCAATCGGTGCTTCAAATCTTGCACAACCTTTGTGCGAGTCTCCTGGCCCCCGCAATCGACTTGGGCAACTTTACCACGATACTTTCCTACCCCCCTATAAAAAGAAATGGCATTTTTCGTGTTTACTCAAGCGAATCACTTTTTATAAAGGGAATTTGGTCTTCATACGTTCTTTACATGTGAGATCCGTAAAAAGATTAATACAACATCTGACGATATTTCGCTGGTTCTATACATTTAGAATCTAGCTTAGTTTCAGCTTGAAGCTTAGAACGTAGCTTGTCAGTGTCCTCTAGTTTGTGGAGTGTGTCACGAAAGCGGCCAACAGAGCTAAGTGTTCACGATTCTCGAAGCAACGACAGCAGGCAGAAACGTGAAGTAGGACAGTGCCGTGGACTTGAATAGAACCGCGTAGGCTATGTCAACGATTAGATCTCATCACTCGAATGCTTCTACAGGTAGCTCGCTAAGGTAAAGATTGCTGTTACGCTGTCAATGGATTGATCTTACCTTGACGGCTCTACCGGGCCGAACTCCTCGGTCCATAATCGCATCATTTGGTATAGGACGAGAGAGGCCACAGCACAGATTGTGCAGGTCACACAGAAGAACACGACTACACAATCAACATCGGTTATCAGGTCTTCCACCAGCTGAGGCCAGCCTCCAGGACCATGGTAGTATGAAGTCGTGAATATTCTCTTCACCTTATTACGTTACATAAACAACATATAGAAATACGCAGACAGTTAGATCCGAAGCGAAGCTTTTTGCTGCTATTACAGAAAATGTAATTGTTATAATTATGACAAAGATAATCATCGCTAACCTGGTCAAGCCTTTCTGTCAGTTTTTGCATCGACATCGTAACGTTAGTGCCGATGAACGCTGTGACGCGTAATTTTTTGCCTTTTCCACAGGTGCTTCACCAGATGCTGAATTAAGCCTGAACGGAAAAAAATGAGCCTAGATTAACGGATAATCATGCCAATCGAAGTCGTTCAAATAACAGATGGTTATGTTTAGCTGAAGCCAACTCGAATTGTTAGTAACGACTAGCATCTTTACTTATAAAGGAAAAGTTATAGGAAATGGTGTAGTTTGCATAAACATTAGTGTTGTTTGACTTCCTTGTCACCTTTATTGATATACACACGCAGACATACATACGTACACACACATGTGTTTTTTATATACATATGTATATACCCACTGCCTCGTGCCTATTCACTTTCGCACTCACTTCAACGCACAGTACGTTTCTTTTTTTTTACGTAACGTAGTAAAAAGGGTATCCTTCAAATTACAAATAGTATTATTGTTTAGTCCAATATGTACAAAGTGTCCAGCGTTAGCCCGTTTGCGAGGACGAATCACATAAATCGCTTCGTTTTTGTCGTCATACCACTCCAAAATCGAGTTTATTTTCCTTTTTCGTAGACATACTCAAAGCTTGGGTGCTAATCTCAAGGACAGGTGCCAGTCTAGGTTCGAACGTAGGCCAGCCGTGTAATAGAAGGCCTAACGACGTTAAATTTGAAATATCTAGACATACTCAAAGCAACGATACAAGTTCAACTCTCATGACCTAAATCACTTGTTATCGAGTTGTTCTCTAAACGTGTTCTTCTGTCCGTGAAATTTAACCGTAGATTTTCCCTTATACTTCTCCATTCCACTCTTTATTATCCGTAAAGCAATTAGCAGACGACAAGCTCTATCGTGAGCTTCCGTATTTATTACTATGCGGTTCTAATAGATCGGCGACAAGGGAGTCCTTTAATAAATGTTGATACCCTATCAGCATCGTGTCATATAATAATAGTGGTAATAATACATAAAGGCAAGACGGGCTGTTACGCTGTAGCTTCTACGCAAATTTACAGAATGAATAATGGATCGGGATTGAAACCGCCATAGCAATTGGACGGCTATCACTATGACAGCAGCTGCTGCAGTACCCAGACACTCTGAAGTTACGGATCCGTTGACCGGTCGTCGTCGGCAGATAAGTAGGTGGTTATTACGTTTGAAAGCGAGAGATCTGATAAAAGCAATAATATTAATGCCGATCATATAGATCGAATTGCTCGATCGATGCGTGTGTCTGGCAAGGCTGCCAGTCGACGTATGTATGTATGTATATATGTATATCAATTGTCACCCGGGCTACAGGCTGATGGCCTGTGCTGTCGTTGCAAGAACGACTCTCAGTTACAACTCACTGTGTCATCCGTCTGTGCACGTATCCGTGTGTATGTGTTAACAGGAAGAGCAAAGGCGCAATAGCGAAGCATCGTACCGTCCGACCCTTCAGTATATTGTATATTCGATACTATGTCTTATATGTTTGGATAGGTATTTATAGACATTAATAATTTATCTAAATATATCGTATGCGTATCGATCTTTGTGGACTTTGTTCAAAATAGAAAAGTATTGCGATCGATCGATCGGGAGGAGTAGCGACATCAGCTAATACGTTAGGCTCTAGCTGCTACTGCTAAGATTGTACGTGGGAAAAAACGTTTCGTTTGTCCTATCGGGCGCGAATATAATGATTACCGTTCGTGTCCAATGATTGAATGTTACCAAATAAAAAAATCGCAGCTCCGCAAAAAGCTGTCAAGAAATCATTGCCCGGCCAGATGTCTCAAATCTTATAGACTTTAGTTTACTCCTAATCAGGTGTAATCAGCTGTTCAGATGCTTTCTTAGTTATGTTTGCACATATCGACTGGTCAGAAATCTAGCTGTTCCTAAATAAACGACCGTCTGAACGATTCGAAACGCATATAATCTGTTTACTCATATCATCGTGCTAACGTCGTAACCGTTGGAAGATAGAGGACTGCCTTTAGAAACCATACAGATGTATAAAATCTTCTATAAAGCGACTGGGTTATTCTTGTCAGCTTGAGGACGTGTTTCATTTTTGTTCAACGTTTAACGCGTGCGTGAAATTCATAACGCTTCATTCAAAATAGGCCGCTATAAAGCTTTAACGACAAGTTCGAAATTTTTCGATATACTGCCCTACAAATATTCACCGAATAATATAGAATAAGACAGGCTGAATTCTCTATCGATGGGTTCTGAGAGCCAGAGTTGCGGGTGATTGACGCTTGTACATTTCGCGTGCCACATGCAAGTTAGAAGTGCAGCTATTTTTTTTTTCGCTTACCGCTCTCGTTCCTATCGGCGTGAAAGCCTAGGCTGAGGGGCAAGATCTTCTCATTCACAAAAGAAGTCTGCTAGTTACATCCTTCCTGATTTCGTCATTCCTCATGTATGAGCACTTCGTCCCGACTGTGCGCTATTATATCGCCGCTTACGGTGGATCATCGAATCTAGCCTGGTGATGATGCAAAGCACGGGAAAACATATCCAGATCAGGCAGATAGATTAATTCATGGCTACAAATGTATTGTGATATATTTTCTGCTATGAACCCGTCGTCACAGAATTATTTTGCATACAGTTAGGATTGTACATACGGTTGTTGGCTATTCTATTTTTTGTGTCTACATCCTTTCGTGTGATTTTATACATACAGCCGGTTTGTTCGGTTTACTAACGGTTCGTGTTATGACAGCTACTGCAGAATTCAAAAGTGGGTTCTGAACGTAACGAAAATTTTCCGTTGACCCACTAATGGTTATGTTTATCAACCGCAATCTTTCTAAGAAGAACGCCAAGGTGCCGTCGCATTTGTCGTGCTTGAGACATTGCCAGACGAATATGGCGTTGAACAACCTTAGAGTGTGGAAACATTAGCAGAAAAAGTATAATTTGTAAGCCTAGTAGAAAGAGGTAGTGCCTCAGTCAATTTGTACATACGAGCCAAATTGCTCCGTATGTCAATTTTACGACTGGCAAAATTATGATAATTTCCGAAATTGAATGCTTTGACAGGTGAATCTAGCAACAATCATAATAAAGATTATCGGTTTCCAGCTCACGGAACATCATTGAGAGTCCTTACGGCCTTGTCGGGATCCGTACCTATCGGTTCCATGAGCACGGTTTGATATATGTACAGATGTGCTTATAGCAACTATTCAATCGTTTATAACATCTGAATGCTATAATAGATAGAACCTATTGTTTGACATGTACTAACGTAATATTTCAGATACCATATCTGCCGAAACTTCCATACCCTAAAAATATCCGATGCAGCTGTACAGTTAATCAGGATTCATTAATACATATTCGAGGTCACGTTATTTATATTTTCCACGCTCGAAGTCATGAATAAAGCTATGGGGGTATGAAGTGCGACTCTGACTCATCCTTCTACCCAGAGCCAACAACGGGCGAAGGATTTGCTACTGAGAGAAATGTACAAAATGTTTTTCGTTAGTAGAATTGACTTTTGAGCCCCAACTGCCGACAACCGCCACATGGACGCTGACAACCGGGGGGAAAAGCCGAAAAGACTTCTAGTGCATGTAAAATGTACGTTAGCAGTTTCATCAGTTTCCTCTATATTATATATAATCGAAGTGATACTTTTGTTTCGTCTTTCTACCGCGTCTCAATAGGCCACAGTCCATCCTAATGTGACTTCTTACGTTTCGAAAATTGTCTTGCTCTCCTTCTCTCTCTTTTCCACTTTCCGTAAGCCAAGTTGGATTGGCCTGAATTCATACTTCCATAGAGCGCCAAAAGCTTCTGAACTCAACAACTCTGTCTAAAACATTCGACGCGCAGAGATTTTATACACGAACAGACAAACACATACATACACACCTCAACAGTTTTGGCGTCTCGACACAAGATTCCGTCTTAGCTTGATCTCTATAGCTATATCTAATGTACAAAACGGGTTAACGTTTTTAGCTGGCTCACATGGACGTATATATTTACGAAACGATTTTCACTCGATGACGACTCCAGTCAGCCGTCGATCTTCGCTCTACAAGCACTGCGTGATAAACATACACTATACAGATTAAGCGTCCATTTTATCGGCGATGATATCACTATATACAACAAAAAAAAACTAGATGCGTTATATTTGTCTATAAGCACATGCGTATAGTATCCTGATATTGACGCCATACCGTTCGCATGATCGTTTAACGGGGTCGTCGTCTAACTTCGCGGCGGCGGCGGCGGCGGCGGCGGCAGCAGCTACCGCCGTGGCCACGACATAGTCTTACGATATAGTATGGGGTGGGTCCCGCACTACATCGTAAGACTCTGCGAGCTGGCGATCCTCTACCAGGGGTATCTCGTTTAGACCATCGTAGTAATGTTTAACCTGCGCTGGCGCTTGGCGAAAAGCTACATGACGCTAGCAGTGCGGCGCTAAATCTATGTCGTTACTGTGAACGAATACAACTATTTTTATAATGGCAATAGTTGAAGATGCTAGAACAGCCAATGTCCAGAGCGCGCAGACTCCGACGTTCAGCAACGGCTCCTACTATATGTAATGCTAGGCCATGATAACCTAGGTAACAAACATATCTACTGCAATAAGTCACAGCGGAACCGAACAACTACGATTACAGGCGGATAGCGCTAGAATTTTGTTGATGAGGGATGTCTACATATCATCGGTCACATTTGCCGGGTCTGCCGTTCTAGTCATCGCCAAATGACCCATTAATGCCCCAATCAACGGCGATTGAAAGGGCTACGGCAACGTTGATGATCATTTTAAGAAACAGAAGCAAAGCGGTAACATGGTCAGTCGACAAGCTGCTTGCTCCATGAAAAATGTGTTCAGCCCTATGGCGTTCTATTATTTATCTACGTAGATAAGTGGAATCTATCAATGCAATAAGTTTTTTTTTACAAACAATAACATTAATGATTATCATTATGTTGGATTAGAAAAAAAATGCGATCCATCAGATGACTATTCTATACGATTTCGGAGTGATGCGACTTCCAGCATCAAAAACGTCGGAGTGTACTATCACCTCATGAGGCAATCCTAATGGGTTCGTTGATGGATACAAGAAGTGTGTACTTTCTTACAGCTGCCTTTTTTGGCCTTGATACATACTTAGAGTCATGCTTCAACGTTTCCTATCTTGTTTTTATCTTGCTATTGGAACTTCTCTCAAATAGTCGACAAATGACCATTCACAGTTTCCATGCCTGCATCTAGTAGTGCTTAGACTTGCCACTTATTTCGGAAGAATAATAACAGTAGAATGCTGTAAAGGCTTAAGTTAAATTTTTTTGAAAACTTATCAAGCAATTAAACACGCGTCGTTGAATTCTTTACCGCCTTTATAATTCGACGCTATCCATATAGATGGTTCCTATATAGAATCAAAGCGTGGGACAACGTAAACATAAATGTCAGTCACTGCTACATCAGCAGTAACAATGACGGCATCAATTCCAGTGAATTTACTTCAACCTGTGCGCTTAATAGTGTTGTATCATCTACGACGCGTGCCGCTAACCCGAGTTGCGCCACGTTTTGCTGATCAGTGTTTTCGAATATAGGAAGAATTCAATATACATATATAATGCTGGGTCGGTCAAAAACAGACCTAACCCGGCCTATTAGGCGTCAATCTTTGAGCAAGCCAAAGCAGAGAACCTATTCAAATCTAGGCTCACAAGTCCAACCCGATATGCATGCAATTTTTCATGGCCTACAATAGCCGTTTACATATTTAGCCGAGTACGGAGGGAGCTTTTGTGTGGGTGGTTTTGCCAGAACAATGTACGCCTGTCGGGCTGCTATCGTCAAATCTGCTGCCAATATAAAATAGATGTATTTCTCAGCGCCAGATATGGCTTGTGGCATTTTCTTTAGCCCCTCATGAATAGATCGGGGTCTAACTTGTTTTCGTGTATCAGATTTTCAGCCATCAATAGGAGAGTTGCAATCCTGGTCTGGGCCGAACATGGGCCGAAGCTAGCTAGCTCTAAACCTCGACCTCGGCGGCCTCGACGGTCGACCTCATGGCCGATTATGATTACTACCAAGACACAAACGTGCGGTTAGATGATCCTCGTCCTAATTACTACGGGTTGTTAGAGACAAATCGACAAGCGATGCTTTGATACTTTTCTTACAGTCTTTAACCCATGAGTAATATTTTGATTTAATCTAGTATATGATAATTATTACTAACTGTAGCTAATTTTTACGGGGATTTACCTATAGCTAGCCTATAGCAAATAGATCTAAGAATGGCATTGCTGCTAAGAAAAAAGTACGGTAAATGTATACGGCGAGACGGTACAAAGGCATGCGCAGAGACAACAATGATCTATGTCTCTATTGATCAAACAAGCGATTTAATAATATCGAACTCGTCAACGGAATCATATTGAATGGGTGGAAAAAATGGCACTCAGGATGAGGCTATCCTTTCCGTTTCTCTATCAGCGTATAGGTTTTCTCGTTTCAAATCTCAAATGTTACAAATCTAAATATAGTTCGCGTCAATCTTATACTTTGAGCTAAACAGAAGCTTGATTTCTCTCAACAAAAAAAAAAAAAAAAAATCTAAACGTCTTTATTCTCTTGTCGAAATGCCGTAAATTTTGGTCACACGGTTTCATTTCAATGTGGTAGAACTGGCATTTGACAGCTTTACTTATTCTTACTTCTTATTGGTTGTAACTATTTTGACAGTGCTTTCTTTCTAATATATTTACGATCGAGGTGAAAATGCACCATATCCTAACCTGACTAACTAACGGTCGATGGTATCGATTGTCTGATAGCAAGGACGGGCAACTTGTAGGCTAAACAATCGCTATCGGCCTATTGTTCTGGCTAGGTAGCCGACTGGTAATTGCCAATTCATTGTGCACGAACATCTCTTGACGTCAGACTCAACCGGCTTTTTAAATAGTAACCGGGTCAATTAGTATGTGCCTCTGTCATCAAAACGAGTAATGCTGGGTTTCTTAGCCGTTTTCAGAAGTATGCCGTAGGTCAACAATGGCGTCCGTGGTCCGGCCGGATCGTATAGAAACAAACAGTAGAAGCACCTCAAAGAGACTAGCGGTCTCTGCCAGTTCTTGATTCTGCGTAGACGAATGATTAATAGCGATATGAAAATGAACCGAGTTTGTGGGCTCGGGCCATTTTCATATCATAGGCCAAAGACCCACATGAAATTTACTATGCTTTTATTAATTTACTTCCATTCTTTATATGAGGTTTATGCAAAACAGAATATATCGGCTCTAGAATATTTTGGGACTATCATTTGTACGTGCAATAGACAATTTCTCGAGTAGAAATCGGTCGACAAATAATTTCATTAGATATTTTTTGGCCTTTCAGTCTGCTGAGTTTACTTACGGCCGTCAGAAGAATTCAATCGATGGGTAGACTTCGATGGAAATTGTGAAACTATAAAAAATAAATTGATAATGTTACCATGTAGTA